TCATCATTAAAATTATAAAAATGTATTTCCCGTGATTGTTAATTAGCTTAGAGAATAAACTTTTATTATCATTAAAAATTATGTTTGCTGTTAGGCAAAAAAACTTTTACGTGTATTTTAAATAAGTAGGTAGTTAAATTACTTTACATCGCAAAATTTCCTTAGTTATTTAATTGGAAAAAACTGCACAAAACTAACTAATGGATTATTCCAACAATCAGAGGAGGAGAGAAGAAACTATGAAAAGGAGAAAGATTTTTAAATAGCAAAAATTATGATTAAAAATGCTTTATTTGTTTATTTCCAAAAGTGATTCAGTATTATACTATAATAGAGCAACGTAAATAATTTAATTATCTAAGCCCACTAGTAACGGATATGTAGCCATTTATATCCCGAGCAACATTATAAATCTTTACCCTAAATTAACTAACTAAAATACATATATGGTAAAATACTATCTGACATGCGGCAATAACGCAGAAACATTTTTCGAGTCTTCTTACCTAGATACTTAACGAATTGCAGAAGGTTCTATAATATCCCACTCCTTCCTGTTAGCAATTTTTGTCACAGGCTTGCCTCCAGAAACTCGGAAATTGCTTTAACAGTAAGCCTGATAGAGTCAAACTGGCACCTAGTGTAGTATCATTAATAACGTTCATCATAAACGCCTTAAAAGCATTCAGGTTGAAGGGAATAATAAGAATAATATGCAGTTTGTTATATATATATATATATATGTTTTTCTCGAAGCAAAAATAACCAGTCTATTTCTATCTTCTTTCCAAGTTTAAAATTTAAATATTGTAAATCTAATTCAGCAGAATATTTATCTTAGGTCCCTATGCGGCTGCATTCTTTGCATACCCCTATTTACGCCACTGGTACAAACCAAGCTGATGAAAAGAGACAAATGCAGCTCTTAAGAAAACTATTTTTTTAAATAGTGCATAGGAAAAAATAAAAATGGATTTAATTAAATACAAATGGATTTAATTCGCGATAAATCTAATTTAAAAACGTTCAGTACTTTTATAGAATGACGCTCTGTATTTTTTCACTTTTCAAATGCAGTAGGCTAGGATTAATCTGATCACGTTTGTCCACAGCCATTTTGATAATATTAACCGAATGGTAACACTGAACGATAAGACAAAATATCCCTAAAAATAGCAATGTAAATTAACTAATTCAACAAAAACATATCAATAAAAACAAACAAAATATAGATAGTTTCACGATATTTTAATTTGGAAAATGCAAAGGTTTGCTTATGAACTGTTCATAATGTCTTTAATGCAAAAGTTCACTTAATGGATTATAACGCTTCTGGAGATTATTTGACCGATACTATACTTCTAATACTCGGAGGGCATCTCTCATTCCAGGACAACATGTCAGCGTAAATCTAAAATTCGGTCAAAAAAGCAACATTAGTTTGGCATTTCTCCTGACAATTTTTGGAACATGTGTCTAATAGCTCTCAGAGTTGATAGAATTATTCAAAATCTACATCAAGCTAAAATTGCCTTTTTGTCTAGTTTTAAACGATTGACTGGAATCGAAACCAATCAATAGATTGGTTTGAACATTCGCATTGGCGGCTTAACTCTTATTTGGCAACATTTTCTCTGTAACTCAGGGGTCGCGAAACTTTTTTGATCATCGCCCCCTATATAATCTTTCGAAATCTCCATAGACCCCCACAAAGGTAATTTTCAAGTAATTAAAATAAAACCATATATTAGTCTAAATATTTATTTGATAAATCAGAAACAGTAAGTAAAGTAGCTACAGATTTTTTACTTCTTAATGAGATGAGTGTGCCTGGTGTTTCTTGGCAAGGTTCGCTATATTGGGTTCGAAATTAGTCAATTTTAGCCGTAAATCCCCTCGAAGCTCCACATTTAATTTATTTCTGTTTTTAGTTAAAATTGAATTACCGTGACTGAAATCGGCTTCAACCATATACGAACTTGGAAACGCCAGCATAAATGGCTGAGCCATTTCGTAAAGTTTCACATATTTTTGCTTTATATTTATATTAGTCCAAAATTTATGTATTGTCAAATTTTTAATAAGCGTTTTTGCTTCAAGATCGGACAATAGTTCAGCAAGCTCATCTTGTATGTTGATGTCGACGTTATCAATTTGCGCCAAAAATGGCGCAATAATCCAATCAGGGATGTCGATGTTTTCCAAATCAACAAAGCGCAGTTTTAAAATCGTCGCTTAATTTTTGAAGATGATTTGTATATATTCCAAGTCTTCTTCTTTTATTTTTAATTGTTGCAGATTTGAAAAATACTTATAATCCTTACGTAGCAATGAAGATCTAAATAAATTTAATTTTACTTGGAAGCCTAACAGTATTGTTCGAGCTTCGATAATTGTTACATCTTTTCCTTGCAATTTTGTTTGAACGTCATTAAATTTTCCAAATAAGTCTGCTAAATAAAAAATATGGTTCTTATTGTTTTGGAGTTCATTTCTTAGAACAGGATTTATTTCGTTCAGAAATTCTGTCGTGGAGTCAAATAAATTGACGAGCCGTTGCAAGCATACACCTCTAGACAAACCATCTAACCTCGGTGTGCAGAAGTAATTGGTTAAATAACTCATTGTTTTCCTCACAAAGTTTGGCAAATAATCTTGATTTAAGAGGTTGAGCTTTAATTTGATTAGATTTAATACAAAACTGTAAAGCTTCATGTAACTCTGAACTCAGATATTTTGCTACTAAGTTGTGTCTATGCAACACACAATGAATAGTACGAATACCGGGCACTTTTTCTTTGAGGCATGTAGCAAAACCTCGGTAACGCCCCTACCATAGAAGGTGCGCCATCTGTGGCTACTGCTATTATATTTTCAAGCGGAATGTCATATTTATTTAAATATTCTTGTAAACATCTAAAAATTGTCACTCCCTTACTCCCTTCCCATCGGTTTCAAGATATTTAGCAATAAAAATTCATCAATGACTTTCCTTTAATTTTACTGAAATATCTAACATATGCCATAAGAATAGCAGAAACGCCAAAAACAGATTCATCAAGTTGTATAGAGAACTTGCAATTTTTTAGCTCCGAAACTACTGTGTTTTCTATTTCTTCGGCCATTTCGTCAATACGCCGTTTTACAGAATTTGCACTTAATGGCAAAGACTTTAAAACATTAGTAGAGTCTTTTTTCATCACATTCTCAATGACGTCTTTAATTGCAGGTACTACAATTTCTTCTGCGATTGTGTGGGGTTTTCCCTCTTTGCTATATTAAGCGAAATCTTGTACGAAGCAATTAATCCTCCTTGGTCAGTTTTAATTTTTTCAGTAAAATTCCCCTCTTTTTTAGAGTTGGCAATTGAATTGAATTTCTTTCGATTTTTTTTGGGGAATTCAATTCTTCATTTTTTTTCTTGCTAAGTTTTTGAAAATTCAATTTATTTTTTTTTTTTTACTGAATGAAGCCTTTCAAGATGATCATTTCATTTTTGTATTCATTTCCAAAAGTTTTTTCGCATATAAGACACATAGGAATAGTTTTCATTTTCGGTGAACAAATAAATCCAAATTTTAAGTAATCCAATGAATAATACCGACATTTCTTTTTAGATACTGAACGCTGTCATTTTTAAATTAGGGTTCTGTAATAAGTTAAATTTAAGTTGGTATATTATACTAATCCACATTATTAAAGCTTACCTTTTCACAAGTAAAATAATTAAAATTGATATCAAAACTAAACGAATAGTTTTATAGAAACAATAACTCATTATCCAATGGTAGATATAATAGTAGTAATAATGACATTACAAGCATTTAATACTGTTCACAGTTCACAAAGATAGCTGAAAATGCATATGATATTTGCGTTTGTAGCATTCAGTGTAGAATTGGACAAGTGCACATATGCAAGGCTCGTATGGCTTGCGATGGAGACAAAAGGCGAACCAACGACACGATGCGTAACTGCTGTATAAAAAAGAAAAAACTAAACTAAAACCACACACATAAGAAGAAAGAAAACGGAGTACTGAAGATTCCCTTCGCGCTTAACGCATAGAAAGCCAACGGCAGTGTCGTCGCTCGCCAAGTCTGCGCCAAGGGCTCCTAATTGGTTGATGGGTTCGCCAGCAAGAGTCACGGATAAGCCTCAATCGCTCTTCTGGCTACATACTATGGATTGGATTGAATTGGATTATTTAATTATGGCAAAGCACACGAAGGCTATCTGCCTAAAGGGAGGGATGCCTTCGTGGAGGACTTTCTAAGGGAAACTGGCTCGTATACACGTTACACATGGGGAAAACCACGAAAACGCCCATGCAGCCAGCCCGTTCGCGGGATTCGAACCTCAGACCGAACTACCAGTGTTCAGCGTCTTTACCGCTCGGCCGCTGGTGGGCGGCTACATACTATGAGTTGTTGCAATTACAGACTGGTCACAGGTCCAAGTTGTGACGTCACGGTATACATACGAAAACCCATAAGGAAAAAAGGGACAGATTGTTTTCTGATTTATCATTTTATTTCTATAAAGAATAATATCAATTCAATTATAAAAATATTTTTAAATTTTTACGTACGCAGTTAGATCGTGTGATTTGCGTATTAAGAACTGTTTTTCCTTCGAGTCCCAATAGACCCCCATTTGACACCTTGGGTCAGATAGACCCCTACTGTTGTTAAATAGACCCCTAGGGGTCTATATAGACCACTTTGTCGACCCCTGCTGTAACTTGACAAATTTTATAAATCTGTTTTGACCTTATTTGGCGATCTTATTAATTTTAAAAAATTTGTTCTATAACAGTTTGATCCTATTAACCGCGACGTTTTCCCCATGTTTGCTTAGGCAAACGGGCAGGACTTCGGCAATTCAACAATAATATCCAAATGATAGCACTAACCGCGATTAAATTAAATGGCGAATACTGTATCATGAATACTCTAATAAAACTGATCATTTATGGCAAGTCTGTACAGAATGCTTACCTTTGAAATGGAGATAAAGAGTATCATTTAGATGAGGTGTCATGTAAAGATTATTTTCCTTGCATATCTTCTGAAGAAATTTTTTTGTAATTCTGAAACAAAATGCATAAGGATGAATGAGATATACATAACGATCTACAATGGATTTTCTACATTTACCAATTATTTAGCATGCCTTGGCAAATTTGAATTAGTTAATAAAATGAAAGCAGAGTAAATAATAATAAAAGTTTTAAAATATCAGGGTTTTATTAGAATAGAAGCTTAATTCAGTATTCTTCAGATCCTACTAGACAAGCGAGTTATCACTGTAGTCTAGATTAAGATTACAAATTCTTGCCAAAGTTAAAATAACATTTTTGTTAACTCTTAAAATTTAACAGAAGGCATCACTTGTGCTACAAAATAGAACTCAATAACTCAGTTTATGGAACAATAATTTTCTTTAACACGATGTAGCTTCTAAGCAAAAAATAATAGGTATGTATTTTGGAGCTTTAACAAAACAACTTTAGTTTATATCAGGGTTTCTTAACCTTGTGTGGAGACCCCATAATATAAACGAAAATTTTGAGGGACCCCATAATATTTACGAAAATTTTGAGGGACCCCATAAGCATTGCGTAAATCCGACACACGCGTGAGTGAAACTGTCCGTTTCTTCACTTCTACTGTAATATACTATTGCAGTGTTAAGTCATTAATTTTTAGAGTAAAATGAACGTTTCTATTGTAAAATAATGCATCGAAACGTTTTTGTTTTTAATATGTCTGTATTGCCTTACCTTTAACTATATTCAGAAACATTATGTGAAAATATTTGGTTGTTATAAAATCGTTATAATAAGTTAAAGAAATATCAAAATTGCTAAACTTTTTGGCAACCTCCTGCTGCAGATCCCGCGACCTACAGTTTAAGAAACTCTGGTCTATATAATAAATAATCTATAGATATGCTCTGGCATATTCTTTCAGAACTCTAACAATTAAGTGAGTAGTTTTTATATTCTGACAGCTTCTGCATTATTCTAAGTAACATTTCTATATTCTAAACTAATTATATTTTTAAAAATATCAGTTATGTTTATGTTATTAAAAATCAAATTGTTAAGAACATTTTTTTAAGTAACCTAGTTTGTAAGAAATTGCAAATCTGTTAAATTTTTAAAATAAGGATTAGTTAAAAATTTCATGTTTCGCGAATGACAATATTCTCAAAATTCCTCGAAGGCGTTTTTAACATAAAAACAACAGGGTCCCGACGTATGTTGTTAAAAAACACATTTCACATAATCACTTTCAGAATTTAATTTTAAACAGAATCATTAGAAACCAAATTTATCCAATTCGAAACCCAAATGCAGAAAGCTCTTATTTTTTAGTTTTTCTCCTGTCTACGTTAGAAAATGGATGGAGAAAACGTGATTGCCTTTTTAAGATGATTTCCCACTCGAATTAATCATTTTCGGGCAGCTGAAATTTTATTTGAGTGGAGTAGCTTATCAAATCAGACATAACTGCATTTGGACTCTCTCCCGGATGTTTTTACTTCCTTGTACGAAGTAAAAAGGAAGTATTGTAATCGCGAAAAGTTTCAGGCAGCATATTTCAACGAAAATATCCATTTTGACCGCTATCGAATGCAATTTAACGATGTTTTTGCGTGATATCTTTACGTAAGGACAGAATAAAAGGTGCTACTTTGGTAGACGGTTGCACGGATTTTGGCGAGTTTTTGGCAATTTTTCTTTTGGCGAGTAATACGACTTATGGTAAACCCATTGCTGGATAAGTTATTTATGGTAACCGATACTTTGTTGACATTTTATTTAAAAATAATGCGTGTTATTATGCATAAAATTCGTGTGTTTTAAATATTATTTATGGCTTCTAAATATTAAAAATCAATTTAATTTTGCATTTTTATTTGAAATAAAAATGTTATTCTTTATCATATTTTATGAAATTTTATGCTGTGGATGATGTAATCAGTGACGTCACCTTACTTAAAAAAAGTAATTGGTTTAATTATCTATAAATTTAATCTAATGTGTTTTAAACATTATTTATGGCTGTTAAATATTAAAATACAATTTAATTTTGCATTTCTTTTTTTAAAATGATTTATTATGTATGATTATTTAAATAATTTTTAATTCTAGGCGTGATGTAATCAGCTCTCTGATTGGTTATAGAATATTTGTGCATTAATGAGCTGTAATCAGCTCCCTGATAGGTTGCTGAAAATTTGTGCATTACCGCGCCATTTTAAAATTTAATTCATATCTTCGAATTCCTTCAAAAAATGTCTCCTTCAAAGATGAATGTATTTTTTGATAAGTACCAAGAATTTTTGGTTTCGGAATCAAAAAATTGTCCTTTGAGACCTTATTTTCGCCAGCCTGCCTGGCTTTCCTAATCAAAGATTTATTTATAAATTCTTACAAGGGTCAGAGGAAATTTATTTTAAATTTTTGGAGGAAACAACGCTAATTGTTTCTTCAATGAAGTGCGAAAATGTAGATCACAGATGAAGACCGTTAGAAGAGCCGATTCTGAGACGGCCGTATATGATATTGTGGTCATGTTGGAAGAAATAACAGGTTGTTAACGGTAAAAAATTATTAGACATTCCTCCTTTTTTACCGACATAACTAATTGCTGTCATTTTAGCTCTAGTGTACTATTTACTTATTTTAAAGTATTTAATTTAAGTAATATTTTAATTCTTTTAAACGTTGGTATGATGGTTTTTAATTCGATATTCAATTTACGTATTATTTTAATTCAATTAAACGTTGGCGCAATGTTTTTATAGTGGTATTTTTATTCTATTTCTATGCTATATGAAAGGTAATAATTTAACCTTTCTTCAGTATTTTATACTCGTAGTAAATGTATTTATTCTATATAATATATATATATATATATTATATTCTATATAACGTATTTTAAAGTATTTAAATTTAATAATATTCTGATTCTTTTAAATTGGATGATTTTTTTATTTCGATATTCAATTTCAGTACTAATTTTAATCTAATTAAACGTTGGCACGTTTTTATAGCGGTGTTTATTCTCTTCTTTGCCATATGAAAGTAATAATAACCTTACTTTAGTATTTATACTCATAGCAAATGTATTTATTTACACTTGCCTGCCATCTTAAAAAACGACATTTTCAATAAAAAAATTAATCCATTATTTCTAACGATATTTATTTATTTATTTATTTATTTTTTTTTAAGTTTCGAATACTTTGCTATGCGTAAAAACAGCGTTTTTCAAGATGGCTGACGTTTGTAGAAATCGCGGCAACAATTGCGCCAACGTAAATCGCCAAAAATCCGTGCAACCGTCTACCAAAGTAGCACCGAATAGAATACTCGTTTCCTCCAAAAAAATGATAAAACTGCTTTAAAATTAATTCTGAAGAGCATTTTTTGTGGCGTCTGTACGAACATATGTACGTACGTACGTACGTATTTCGTATAACTCGAAAACGAGTAGCCTCAGAACGTTGAAATTTTGTATATAGGACTGCTATAACATGTAGATGTGCACCTCGTACTTTGGTTGCAATCGGCCACACCGATGTATATAAATACTATATTTATATATATATCCACTCTGTTACTCGGCACAGTGATCTCAGTTTCTTTACTCTTATATGTTTTGTAATTGTACATTTTTTGCTTTAAAAATGATTGAATTATGTTGTTTTTATCTTCCGGTTAAGGTTTGTACGCCTTTCGTGATTCTGGAAGCAATATTTGAACAATTATCAACAATTTAAAAGCTGTTTAAGTGCGGTTAAGTTTTAAATAACATGGCGGACATACTTGTTTACATTTGAAACAGCAGAATTGTAGATTTGTTGCCAATCTAGAGAGACTAAGCTTTGCAACAACAAAAATAACGCCTTCATTTATTATTGCGAAATAAATCATGCTTAATCCTTTCTGGAATTTTTTCGAGGAAATCAGTGTTTAAGATTTACTTCATAATTTTTAATGCAGATATTTTGAGTTTTTATATATTTTTGCCTTGTCGCGAAGTGAGAACTGAATTAATTGAATGAGAAATACTAATACGTCTGTGAAAAACTGTTTCTTTTCTGTTTTGTTTGCTTAATTTCTTTCATACGTCGTTTTAGCTTTATTATAGTATTTGAATAGAACATGTGGCAACGATAATTCTTCAAATGATATAAATTTTGTGCATTCAGAGTGTCGTTATAGTAAACAAATATAGTGAATTTTAAAGAGTGCATTTATTCTATTGTGGTTTATGCGCTGTCGACGAAGTAGATTTAATTCAATCCAATCAATTTAAATGAAATTCAAGAAAAAATGCGTATAATTTAATATTCCGTACAAGGAAGTCATGTGGTGTCCACATCAGATTTTTTATAATGATGAATCCGAATTTTAGGTCTCCGAATGAGGTACATGTTCGGCGGACCCAATAATTTATGGAAAATTGCACTGCTATTCTCCTTGCTGCACCTGCAAATGGTAAGTGAAACTTGACTGTTTTGAGTGAAATGGTGGTACAGTAGATTAATTTTGTACTCTAAATTGTTGAACACCAGTGAGTTACCATGTCAGTGGGTATTTGTTAGTTTGCATGTTTATACCACACTATAGACTACAATTTGTTATGCAGAGTAAAGACAGAAGTACTGATGAAGGAAAATATGTTTGAAATGAAATTTTACTTACAAAGAAAATGTTCTTAGACCAACGTAATAGAAGGTTTTTAATCTATATAAAATACTATGTTATGCTGGTTTTCGAAATTTTGGGGATTATCTTCTGCTTGAAAAGAAAGAATAAAGTTTCACAGGACTATTACTTGCCAAAAAAAAAAAAAAAAAAGAAGAAAAAAAAAAAAAAGAAAAAAGTAAGTTTGAGCAGTGAAGTCCTATGAAAATGATACGCAAAAGATAGCACGTGCTGAAATGAATTAGTGTATGAAGTTTATACTTCCATAATTCTCAGGATTGCTTTTTCTTGTTCCTTCGGATGGATCAGGCTGGTCCTCCTGGGGATCCAACCCTTCCTGATAAAGGTACATTCTTCAACTGAGC